GCATGCCGTTTTTTCTTGAGGAAACATTCAACTACGCATGCTCATGCAGCAGGTTTTCGGTCATAAAGCGTAGCGGTCGTACATAAAAACAAGCAGAATAATAGCATAGATGAAGGTTATTTTAGGACATAAGTTGCTTCTCTGATATGTAATTGTATAAAAACGCCCATAATAACGGCAAAACTGAAAATTGTAAATCTCCCCACGGACTAAATGAACCTCCATCTCCAGGAAGTGAGGTAGTGACACACACACACACAAACTGCAAAATTTGTTATGGACCTAATGAACCTCCATACCAATTTTTCTGAAAATCTATCCACACCCTGCGAAGTAGTTACATGGCCATACAATATAGATTCCATTCTGCCATCCTTAATTAAAACAAAACACTGTGTCATTCCTTTATAGATTTTTGTACTTGTTGCTTTGTAACAATGAATCTAAATTAACATGAAACCTCTGGCAGGATGTTAAATAGAAGAGCAAAAAACAATCTCAATTATGAATGTGTATAAATAAAGTTCTTCCTAGCATCTTCTATTTATTTAGTGTGTGTCTTACATCATTACATTTTCAAAGAGTCACAAGATCTATAAACAAAGAATTTGGCTTACACCCGCTGTGGAACACCTTTACTTTGTTTCCGTAATGAACCATTTGCAGTTTCAAAACCAAACCCTGAAAATGCCCATAGGCCTCAGTTGTTAAGACTTTGTTAAATGCAAACTAAGAACAACTCATCAACGTGATTATACTCATTGTGTTCAATTGATTATTTTAACAAGAAATAGCTTCTACCAAAAAAAAAATTGTCTGAAATACTTAGCAGGTAATAGATCATTTAAACATGGCAATGAATAAAAAAAAAAGCCATGTCCTACATTTTGATGCCTTCCGTAACTTAGTGAGCATGTTTAGTGGGATATGGATTCAAACCTGTAACCCTCAGATTGCAAATCAAGCACCCTAACCACTTGGCCATTATTCCCCCAGCATCTTATGCTTCAGCAAAAAAAGGTAAGCTATGAAACCAAACTTCTCTAACTACTTCTATCAAATAAAGACTTGTTTCTATTTCCATTCATCTTATTTGATAAATTGAAATGAGTGATCCAAGTAAGCTTTGCAAAGATCACCAATGAACTATTCAAAAGATTTTCTTCACAATATTGTACAGAGGGTAAATAAAACTTCCATCTCTTTGTTTCTTTATATATACGGACCAGTTTCACTAATGCCATAAAAACACCTCATTACCAATGGACTGAGATTTGGGCAGTTTCAGCCATTTAGAATTTGAATTTGGCTGATAAAACAACTTTTATTTCATTGATATGTTTCATCCAAGAATTTATTTCATCTTTGAAAATATAGAACCAACTATTTATTAATAAGGCTCAAGGATGACCATTTCTTTTTAATTCTGATTCACTTACCCATTAGTTATAGTGTCAGACTTCTGGAGTAAAAAAAAATGAGGTAAAATCCATTACAACAAAAATGTTTAAAAATCATTGTTTTTAGGTTAACCATAATTTGGTTGTATGGTGAAAATAAAAGCTACACACAAATATATGTACTTACTAAAAAATGTTACTCAACAGTGTAACTTCCTTCCTTTTAACAAATATTAATGGAAACTTAATATCATAAAACAATATACTAAAAACTTAACTAGAAAATAATCATTGTAATTTATTTATTGATTATTTTAGCCTAAAACTGCATACACTGGATTATTTGTGCCATCTCATTGTCAGGATGAAACCTCCTATTGTCAGCATTAAAAAACCCCATGAGCTTATCACTACACCACTAATGGATGTATATACTAAAAGCCTTGCAGATATTTTTACAATAAAAATTCATCAGGCTTCTTTCTGCACACCTCATTTAAAAATTATTAAATTACAAATATGTCCATTTAAAGAAACTTCCTTCTACCAAGAACCCATGTTTTATGAACTCAAATGCACATTTAATCTACTGGTATCAAAATAAGAACAGTTATTTAACAATTATCTTAATTTTGAAAAGTTTACTTCTGTTTTACACTTAATATTCTCAGGCACAGAAGTAATTCATATCACTTTATATTCTGTGATAATGAAAATCAATCAATTATTGAAATTTCCAAGTCATACCTGTAACAGTAGCATATTTCATAGATAAGTCTCTGTTGGAGTTCAACTCCACTTTGAAATTGGGTCTGAACAGAAATTGCATAAGTTATTGTGCTTCTTTTAATTTTCTTCCACAATTTATGAATCACAGAAATAATGGAGAAATGCACTTAAAAGCAAATCAGTTACTTTTCAATAATAATTTCCCTAGAATACAATTTTGAACTTAAATGGGAAGTTAGGTTGTTAAGGCTAATTAAAGAAGTTTAACTAAAAAATATTTCCACTTTAGTTTTATAAAATTCTTACATGGTATTAGTAGTACGTACACACAAGGTTATACTAAATATTGAATCATATCTTTATCATGAAATAAATATAAAATTATGCTAAATTATGGAACTTAAACTATTAATTTAATTCAAAAGAATATAAAAGTCACAAATGCTTTCAGTTCAAAGTGCTAAACCTAATTCACGTAAAGACCATGCACTTGCCAGATCTTAACCAAAACATTCATGGATCAACTTCTTTCCTAAATATTTATCTATTTTGAGTTAATTTTTCATTATAATGATTAATATAAATCAATATACAATACAGCATGATTTAAGCTACTATAGAAAAATAAATAAAATTAAATGTCACATACATCCCATGCAGTTTTTTCCAGAAACAAATTTTCTAAGGGTTATTAAAAAGTACTACTGAACACTACTAAGTACAATCTCTACATAAAATATTACTTACTATAATAAGCTCCACACGTTCATATTGCAAAATCCAGAGATTGGTCAAGTGCTTTGCTTATCATCCTATGATTTGTCAAACATGAAATACAGCAATAGGAAAACATTGTGTAGTGAAATTGACACCTTTTTGGATTGGGTAAAAGTTTTACAACTGAAGTTTAACATACCCAGATGCTGTTTTATAAAGAAAACAGAAAACAGGCTAGAAAAAGTTAAGATACCAACCAAAAAAAAAAATACTCAACATTTTTTTCTTAGAGGGAACTTATTTATAATTTCAAATTTAATTTGGGATTTTTTTTTTTTATTAAGCTTCTCTTCAAAATTCTTTAAATAATACAATTTAGGACAAATAATAGAATGTTATGCTACTATTTAGAAAAATAAAATTTGATATCCAATAAAAGATAAGTTCCCTAATTTTTTCAATTCACAAATGTGATTTTGCTCTTATGATAACTCATAAAATACAACACAATATGGTGATCGTCATATCACAATCCTGACTTTGATCCCAGCTCTAGCAGTCATAAAATCAGATGATGAAAAACTGACCTACTAAAAAGAACATCCCCTCCAACAATAAAAATAGCATTCATCACTCTCAAAATTATTCTACATAGTTCTGTTATTTCCCATATCTCTATACTTTATTTTGTATCATATGCTAAAATATATTCAATGTTAATTTAGTAAATTAATTTGAATTCTTTTAACAAAGTAGGTCAATGTTACACCCTAATACTGCTTTTAGAAACATTTCAAACAAATGTCAAGTTTAAAACTGGAGTTGAATTAACTTGAAACTCACCACAACTTTGGTAATCAACAATATGATTAAACATCTATACACACATTCTTTAAATAAGAACCAAACACCTACATGTTTATAAAGGAAGTAGATTTGAGAGTAGTTCTCCACATTTTTTGAAAGTTGATTAAAATAGTTACATTATTAAAAATAAAACATTTAGTATGTAAATGTGTTTAAAAAAAATTTCAGACTTGTGTCTAAGTAGGTGCACATACATTTCTTTACGTAGTCATTTCAAATAAGTACTTAGTTTGATAGAACAGTGTACTTTTATATCAACAAATATTAAAAATAATCTATATCATTACCTTGCATGTATTATATAATACAGTATGGTTACTGTCACAGAGGTAAAACATTACCAAATAGTATTATATTAATTTTAACTCGTATTATCTCAATCACATGGCTCATAAAGTTCAACAAGCCCAGTTCAAACATTACTTTATTCATAATAAAGACATTATATACAGATTATGATATAATAAAATATTCAGCACTTATAACTTGGGACTACTTACACAAACTGTACTATGTCTTTGCCTGCAGTACATGTCCCTTTAAATTACACTTCAAAGATCTACCTTCTTGGGATTTATTTCCTCTTGAACTTTCATTTCTACAACCTTAATAGATTCTAGTTCAACTGCAGAGCCTTCTTTTAAAAGACATACACCTACTTTATTTTAATCTGAGCCTCGCATCCTTCACTGCTGTGGCATCCATGAAATTGGTCATGTGCCAATGAATCCATCATTTCACAAAAGGCATCTAGGATAAGGTAATTGAGCAAGCCTTTCCACAGAAGTTTGGGTAAGATCCCTACCTCCAAAACATTTTAGGTACTTCTGGTCCCAACTCCATACCTGTTGGATAAGGCAGTTACCAATGTCTAATAATTGTTATGACTGAGCTGGAAGGTTACTTAATGTTCTCAAAGCTGGTCCTGTTAGATAGACAGCAAGACTGATGGCTTGTTCACAATTCCCTTTGGAAATTACTTTGAACAAAGCCTAATAAAACTTGCATCACAATCCATTAATTTCTCCATTAGCAAACTAAATTCTGGAACTGGATTTGGTAGCATAATTTCTGAAGCAGTCTAGAAAGGCTTTTCAATAACAAATGGCAGAGCAGTAGTGGCAATAGGTATAGATAAACCAAGCTCTCCTATTCTACAATTTGTAGTAAATGACATTCCATGCTTAAACTCCTAAGCCAATGCAAAAAGTTGCATCTGACCTAATTTACGTTTTTTTTATTCTATCACTATTTTTTTCTCCCTTGACACTTTTTTTTTTTTTTTATTACATACACATTCAATTTTATCATTATAACCTTTCTGAAGTCCTTCAATTTTTCAACCTTGCCATTACAATCTCCAAGAACTTTAGACCTTGTCACTGGTTTTATTTTTGTATCTTTAATTGGTATACCTTTTACTTTAACTTCTCAGGGGTGATTTTCTTTTTAATTCATAAACTTGTCCTTCCACACATATATATACCTATATACTTCTTCTTGGTTCCCTTTTCAATTATCTGCAACCATCTTCCTGACCTAGTTCTAATGCAGTCATCAAGCAAAATTGACTTTTACCATCATTGTGATGATCTTTAACAGTTTAAGTCTAATCAATTCTATTTTTACCAAAAGAATCCCACTGCTGACTGTGTTGTATTTCTGGCGAGTTTTAACACTGTGATTAAACTAATTCAAAATTCAAGCCAGTGATAAATTCTCCTTTAAATGTTAAGTTCAAACCCTTATCTCAAGATTTGATTAGTGTTCAATAATTTAAAAGAATATTCTGTTTAAAATTGACTGTCAATTACTCGTGTTGCAATAAATAAACCAATAATATAAACTATGTAATTACTGTTAATGTTGTATATGATCATCTCTTAATACCAATATCCATATTGCAACAGATCTACCAGATTGCATCAGGTTCAAAATCACCTTACATGATCAATCACTTGGCATAAAAAAAGTAAACTCAACAGGCCCAATTTAAAAGAACAATAATTTATTGATATATACATATTGACATTATGTACAATTCCATATCACAAAATTCAATGATTCAGCACTATTAACCTTGTCAGAGATTATAATACATTTTGTAAATACTACGCTAACTGTAGTACTATGGTTTCCACACATAGGAATAATGGGCAAAAACATTTGGTCATTAACTTCCAAAATAATAACAGATCCATTTCTATAAATTAATAAAGCATGTCCACTTTTATAAGCTTACTTGTTCTTGTAACAGAAACAAGGGCATGCTTTTCAAGTTAACCCTGTATTACTTTGATATTTAGATTATAGAAAATATGTAGAGCTATAGCTGGTTTTGAGTTATCTTAAAAATTTGCAATGAATAAACAAATCTTACCCCAATTTTCATCAAGTGCAACTCAAGCAAATGATAGCACTCATACTTAGAATTCATACTAAATATTTTATTAAAAATTAATCAAATTCTCATGAGTCCAGTATTACTAAGCATATTTCAGAATATACCACTGGTAATTTGAATGGTATACTTACAGATCTCCAGGACAAGAAGTTTACATTATGAGTGGTGATTGTTCAACGATACAGACCATTCTATTTTTGTTCACTGCAGATAGTTCTCTAGAAGTAAATAGCTCATAACAAGCAATATGTAAACTGATAATTGGTTAAGAGGCAATTCTAGGTAACACCAATAACAGGTAATATGTTGGCAAACAAATACAGAACTCATTCTTGACTCTTTTTTTTTTATCATCAATTTACACTGATATTAAACCTTTGTAAATCATGCTATAGAAAGTTCTGATTAAAGAAGCATTCAAATTAACTGTTTATTAGACTGCAGAAATTAAGAAACACCATCTGTTTGGTCTTAATTCAAAATTAAATAGAAAATGTTAATATATCAGCTTATTACATTGAACAATATATTACTCTGCCTGACCTTCCAGATACCTTCTGTACTGGTATGAAGTACTGCAGGTCAAACTCCAACGCGTTTGAGGAAACTTCAGTGTATTGAGGCGAGAAAAACTTGGGGTCTTCCACAACGTGGAACCTGACTGAATTATTGATTTGGAAACCATTACCAATATTGCTTCATTAAAACTAATCATACCCAAGTCATTTATTATGGTTAAACTTACACTAACTCATATTTAGAATTATTCTGTTCATTAGAAAAGTGGACACAGTAAACAATTTTATTGAATATTTACAAGATGTTACTGCAAGTTTTCTATGAAGTATATTCGTGTTGACCCAAGACATGGAAAGGAGCAGTTCAAAACACAAGTATTTTTCTTAACTGATGTAAACTCCATAATGAAAAATAATAATTCATTAATTTACAAACCATTAAAAATGTCCTGTCTAATAATTATTAAAACATTAAGTTGTACACAACTATGCAATTGTGAACGAGTCATTACTACAGATGTAGTTTTCCAGGAAATTTTTCCAGTTTTTCAACATTCATGTTAATATGCACAGAAATAATTTTTCTAATTAAAAGAAATTGGGGGATACAGCATTTTGAATGTTTTTACTTATTGAGTGAAACCTTTTTCAATCATGTCCATTTTTAGTATTTATCAATTTATTTCAGGGTTTTAGTTGTCAATGTTTGAAATGCAAGATGTTTCAATGAGTAACTTACATCATAAACTAAACCTTGTGCAGTGTTGATACTTCATGCATACTTCCAACTTAAGTCACTCAGAGGTTTCTTCAACTCCATGGTCTCATTACAGCAGAACCTACAAGAAGCAAAAGCAACTATGCTTTGTCCCCCACCCCCAACATGTCACAATATCTGTATTTTTTTTTTTTTTAAGAGTATTCTCATTGCCATAAAACAAAATTGGTAAAGTTCATTTGAGGAACTCCATTTACACCATGTAAAATATATTTTTAGAACACTGCAATTTCCAGAACATCCAGCAAACTAAATAAACAAATTTGTTGAATTAAACATAATACAGATTGCACAAAATGACTGGTGTTTAGCTAGATATCTTAAATACTCAGAATGTTTTTCTATCAATTTACAGTTAAAAATTATCAGGATTTTTTAAAGACTCATTTACATGTACATAATCAACATTAAAAAATTGTTTGATTTATCTACTTAGCTTCCCAACTCTGAATGGGTACCTAATCCTGGAAGCTGTGGGCCAGGTTACTTCCACATCACTGGAAACTGCAACAGAAAACCAATATATATTAGGCACATATGTATAATACACTATACCAATGACTTGGATAAAACCCAACAGGTATTCTTCACAAAATGCTCTCATATTTAACAGGCCAGAAATACTGGTGTTTTTAAAGCCTTGAGTTAGTGGAACATTTATTTGGCCCACACATGAAAACATTGAGGCAGTAAGTTACCTTACATTAATTACAAATACATCATAAACAGTGTCCACATTCCATATCAGTCACTTCTTTGCACTTTTTACTAGAGTTCAGTTTCTCAAAGAAACAATTTAAATTTAGTGGATCTTCCAACAAGTCTCTTGGTGTAGTGTAGATAAAGTCCATTTCATCATCAGACATTTTTCTAGATTTTTTACACAATTCATATTTGATTTGCTCCCATTTGCGCTTCCTGCACTGTTGCTTACGTTTCAGTTCTTGATCTGCCCATTGAAATGTATTTCTCAACATAACTTCGACTCTCAAATCACCATTCAACCTGTTCTTTTTTCTAGATACACTTGAAATCATGTCTAGAAGGTCTTCTGTTCCCATTCTGTTATTCACTTGTCCACATACAATCATTTTATTTTTCTTCAAAGAACAAGTTTATCCGTGTAAATAACTACAACTTCGAAAATGTTGATAATAATAGTATTAGTAGTATATCAACTAATTATGCTGCTGCCTGCTCAGCCTAGGCCTATTTATAATTATTTTTTAACAAATTCTGCGAATAGAACAAAAATCCAACTCAAGGCAGTCTGACGATAGGCCAATTTCTCCAGGAAAGTTGCAAATTACTTCTTTTTTAAACAAGGCTAACTTAAGACTTAAGTTAGACCTTACTATTGTCGACGGTAAAGGTACGCCGTACAGATCTTTTGAGATGTATAACGACTAACGTTACTTTGCGTTAGTCTTAAGTTAAGCCTAACTTACTCTAGCACTGTATGAGTGTATCACTATCAGTAGAATTCATCAACTTGTAAAGTTAAAATTGAACACAATGGAATACGATATTGAAATGAAACAGCAATGATTTACGGTTTCACTTTCATACGATCGAAGTATTTCAAAACAGATCCAAAAATCATTCAGTAAAGACTGCTTACCTTAATTATTAAATAACTAGTTGTTTTTTATCTCGACAAACGTTATCACACTACTTTCCTTCTTCGCATCTACAAGCTACCTAACAAAGATACAATTTTCAATGCCACGTCATTCTTCTCTCGAGCCTTATCACTGTATTCTGCAGTCAAAGTTAAAGATATAGTGCAAAGCAAATTAACTTTTTACTACTTTCATATATAATAATCTTATTGTTTCGTCAATTAAAAATCAAAATGAAACTTTAGTATTGACCTGGTATTACAACATTTTCAAAATAATTGGTTTATTGTAATACGTCCCACATACACACTACGTAATGACACAAAAATTGCAACTGCCTTATAACAGCCATTTCGTCATTTGGGAATTTTTCTAGTCTTCCCATGATACTACGCAAGAAGGAGCGGCAAACTCTGTCGAACGCACTGGTATCTATATAGATCAATGGTCGATCGGATTTCTTTCGTTTTAAGAAATCTAAGATGGCGACTGACCTCGAAGTCGAATGATAAAATATTGTGGGAATATATTTCTTGGGCCAATAATGCTTTTTCCCACAGCACCATTTCCAATTACTAGTTTTCTTTTAGTAGAAAAACATCTTCGAATATTGACTGAAGTTTATTTTTTAACTTTGAGACTGTTCTCAAACTAGTAAATTGAGTGATACTGATAGTAATACTAATAGTATTAACTAGTAGTATTGAGTAGTTGTAATAATAATAGCACTTAGTAATATTAATAGTATTACTTAATAATAAAGTGTGTCATACGCCTGGCTAGAAATTGTTATCATTAAAAAAGAACATTAATTTGTATTGTATCTTTCAACTTTCAAAAATTTATACTTACAATAATAAAATGGATAGGCTGCTTATTTCTGTGTTAATTCGTATTCTCAGCATTATTTTCATTATAATACGAATATTTTCGCACATTTTTAGTAAATAAATTAAATGAAGCTTTTCTTTCGAATCCACAGGTATTAAGCATAAATTATTTAATACACACCAAAACGTAAAAGAGTTTGAGAGGAGAATCAATAATTTCCACAAACAATAAATAGTGGGTGTACAGGGACAGCCATTGAGGACCAAATTGTACCTTTTTATTTATTTTCTTTGAATTTAAAGTTTCAACAAACTTGCTTTTCTTTCTACTTGTGATATTGGGTTACAAATATGGAACATTTGTAAAAATTTACTTGCAACTGTTGCAGTGTACACATCTTTTTGATGTATTTTCTCATTTGTAAGTGCCATTGAGATACACCTTTGGATCCTTGATAAATCCTTAAATTAGACTGACTTCTTTTTAGAGATTTTCTCAAAATGGCTATTTGTTACACATATTGAAACAGCCAGTAGAACTTTGGACAGTAGTGGTTGAAGTGTGCTAATTCTCATATGACACCATGTCATTGAAAATATACTCATTCATTTTATAAAGTGTTACATTAGTTTGATCAGAGTGTATAGGGGGTGAATAAAGACATAGGGGTCAAAAATGACTCCTAGGGTAAGGTTGGCCCACACAAGTAACTGCCTTACACCCAGTAAGAACAGCGAACGAATGGTTCACTCCTTTTCTCAAATCTTCTACATTGTATAAATTCACACAGTAATGAAAAATACGTATTTTAAAAATATATTTTAATTTATTTACTTTAAGTTTATCAAGAAGTCAACAACTCAAAAAAAGTTTGGGAAACCCTGCTTTAAATGTTTTATCAGAAATAAATGGTTAATGTCTTGTGTTGACAAGTCATTTAGTAATGAAAAAAGATGCTTATAAATTCCTCACTATCTGAAATTATATCTGCCTTGTGTTTTTTTTTTTTGTAGATAACTTATGATAAAAGTATTTTGTTGCCATTTTTCTTTTCTGCATGATTTTACTGGTATTTCAGAGTTTGACCCACAGTGTCTGAAAATAAAAATGCCATGCTAATCATTTTCTTGCATAATCTACTTGTCAATATGTAAAATAATGTAACAAGAACCAGAATCTATCTATTTAAGGTTTATTGTTTAACCCACTGTAGAACTGAACCACAATTATGGTGTGTGTTATAAATAATTTCAAAATAACTTGGCATGAACAGAAAAATTTGATAGCACGTGTGGTTCATTAATAGATGTAACAAATATAAAGATATAAATTATTTCAAAATTTAAGTTGAAAGTTAATAGTTAAATTTCCTTTAACTCAATGATGCTCTTCAGATATAAAAGTTGATATAATAGTAGTAGTCTATCTTAAAACACTGGTAAAGTTGGAGGCTACTAAATCAGGTAAATGAGTTGCTAGATCTGATGATAAAATTTTCAATGTAATATCTATTCATTTCAATGGATTGCAGTCTGTGTATGACCTATTGAAAGTCATTCTGCAAACAATATTAAGGCATTGTAGAATCATTTCTATGAATACAGTAGTAGGTATAATGTTTTTTATATTTAGAAATATTTTATAACTAAAAATAATAACCCAAACTGAGATTAAAAATGCATATGACTGGTCCAGAATATATATATTGTGAATAATAACACAAGCAATTACCCATACAACAAATGAAATTTATCTTTGAAATTAATAATGTTTTTTAATTTTCTTTAACAATTAAATTTCAATCCCAACCATATAAGTTTATAAAATTAAAAATAATAAAACTACAAATTTTCAACAGTTCTAGACATGTTGTAATTATTTAAAAAATCAGCATACTCCCTTCTGTTGTTGTTTGTAAATGGAATTGGATTCAATTTTTCAAAAGTCTGTTTTGTTTTCCCAGTTGACTTTTCTTGTTCAGAAATAAATGCAAGATTATTCTTGTTACTAATGTTTACAACAGAATAAAATGTGAGAAATAATGATAAATGTTCAGATTTTATTCTTGTTTGGTAATAATTATAGGAGCTGCCATTTCACTGCATAAAAATTACTTGTACAAAGGTTCACGAAAATAGTAATTTATATTTGTCAGAATGTTGAAAATGAATGAAATTCTTTCAGTGCATTTCTAATCAGCTGATAGAGTTGCTCCTCTTTCTCTTTTTGTGTGAATATTTTGGGTGTTACAACTGTAACATAAGAATAAAACTGCAGAAATGAATGTACTCTAATGTCTTTACAAGAATCTCTATTGCAATAATCATGCAGTGTACTCATCTGAAAATTAAAACTGTTTCAGGTACTTGAATACCTAGGTGTGAATTGATATATAGTACTTACTTGCTACAAGTGCTCCAGAATGAGAACTTTGAATAAAATTTAATACTAATAAAAAAGATTCAAAAAGTGGATTGGTGTATTATCAAACATTTGGAAGAGCAGAGGAAACTTGAAAACACTAAGTTCATGTTCAGAATCATTGTTATTATACATTACTTTGACTCAAAATCTTATTAATAATTAATGTTGTGGTCTTCTCCCATTGACACTGTGGTCTCTTGTCTTGCTCTGGGATCAAGAAGACTAACTTATTGGTACACCAGTTCTTCTAAATGATAATTTGTTGTATCATAGCCTTTATATCTAAAACTGTGATTCATTCTTGTTTAACTTAACTTGAGTACCTATTACAGTCATAACTTTATAGTACTCACATTAATTTTTTTGGAATGTAATTTTGTGTTACATTATTCATTTGTTGTCAAACGGGTCAACTGGAAAGTGAAAATACTGTCAAGCTATGAAAATGTTTCAGTCAACATTCAAAACTGTTTTTCCATTAAAAAAAGCTAGAACTTGAAAATGTCACAGCAGGAATTTTATTTCATACAGCTTTCCATTGAGACAGCCTGAACTATGGAGAAAACAGATTGTAATTGACATATTCAGAGAGACAAGTGATATCCAACAGAAACTTACAGGTTGTGCTCTGAACATTTTGAAGAAGAATATTTTGATATAAGAGGTCAAAATATTCATATAAGCATAACAGCTTGTCTACTGTATGTTCATGTCATGAACACCTACAAAAAGTATATTTCATAATGACTTGTTAGTATGCTGGCAATTTTTTGTTGTCTTTCAAAATTTGTAGTACACACTGGAGGGATTTGCACATTTTGGTAATAAAGTTAAAAAAAACGACCTTTACACTCCACATAATTTTAAGAGAACATAAAACCCTGTACTAGTCCTGAAGAAGCCACAAAAGCAAAATGTCAGTTAAAATAAGAGTTCCCTTTTACTTAAGTGGAATATAAAGGTCATTTTTTTCAAACGTAGGAATATGGTGTTCTAATTATTCAAATATTTCGTTAAAACTGTTGGAAATTAGGTTAAGTGTTTATTCTAAGAAAACCTCTGTTGGTGTTCAGTTTTCTAGTTTTGTTTGAATTTGTTATTACATAAAGTCTTTTGCTAGATAAAGTTTGTTATAACAAAACTAAACATGTAAATGAAATCACTTGATATTACACACTGGCCTTATAATACAGTCAAGTAACTAATAAATAGAAAGTTGTCAGTATATTTGAAATTAAATTTTCTTTGTAATATATTCTGTATATGACAAAGAACATAATGCCACTGTGAAATCAATGAGTGTGTAATTGAAAATTGAGTAAGCTGGTATAATACCACTGCTATTTTTAAGAAGATTAATTTCTATATGTAAGCCACAACAATGGTGTTCATTGTTTATTTATACAGACAGACTATAATTTTCTTCTAGAGTGGGCTATACCATTTTTGTAAAGGTTCATAGTTAATAAGAAATATGACGATAGTGTCAATAGTCAGGCAATATAGCAGGTTGTTCATGTAATGAAGTACCTACTTAGAAAATGGGGTAAAATATAAATGGCTTCAGTAAATTATTGTTTCTGTTATCTGTTGTGATTTATTTGTAGTTTGCCAAATAGAGGACATTAGTACAGCAATTGAAGTACTTATGTTAATGTTGTTCCAAATCTAGTTACCTCAAGTACAACACCTGTTCAGAACAATTCTAAACATCATGTTCTCCTAGATCATAGCTACCATGTGAGTGATAGTCCTGTAACAATAAAAAGAAAAATGGACAAAACAGTTCATCGTTTGAACGCAGGAAAACATTAAAGATTTTAAAACGAAA